GGTTTTTTAAAAAAATGGAACTATAGGTATGTATACACTATATACAGATTCCAATAGCAATGTAACATACAGCTCTGCTACATAAATTGGTGTCCAGCGTGTGCGATACGAGTGGTCCAGTATAGCCTTGGACTGGAGTGGTGCCCAGAGCAGGGATCTTTAGTCAGGGAGTCTGAGTGGACGAGTGGGTAACTTTCTAGGACTTGTCTCATGGGGAGAAAGTCTAGTACAGGGGCTCTGAAACTCAGATTGGGGACTAAGATAGGGACTCAGACTCTGTGGTAACCATTTCTGGGGAGTGAGTTGCCCAAAGCAGAATCTGTGGCAGGTTGGCTAGCTTGTCCTGAGTTCAAGGGAGAGCTCTGAGGGGACAAAGCGGAGCCAAGGGCAGATAAGCTGAGGGGACTCAAAGACAGCTAATCCTAGGACAGGGTGAAGCTGTGGGTTTGAGTGGTTTTGTTGCCTGAGGCAGAGGAAAAAAAGCTCTGTCTGTGGTGAAAGGCCTAGCTGGGGGCAGGGGCCTAGACACTGTAGCTAGCTTGCCAGTGGATGAGTGCTGGAAGCTAAGTTGTAACACAGACACCCACTGACAGGAAAAAAGTGTACTTTTAAAATCAAGGATGATAATTGAATTATAAGCCTGAAGAAAGGAGAAAACCTTTAACTAGGGGAAAGAAAGCTGAGCAAGCGCCTTGTGTAATGGCAGCTGGGTCAGATAATGAAAATGGGGATGTTGAGGAAGGTTTTACCTCAGATCAGGAGAGAGAAACCTCAAGGGAAGACCCCACAGAATTCAGAAAGTTGGAATTGGTTCAAGCACACGAATACAGGTTGAAACAAATGGAGCTAGAGATGGAGAGGGACAAAATTGCCTTAGAGAAAGAGAGAATGGCTTTTGAACTTAGGAAAACCAAGCAAAGAATATCACAAAATTTCCACTGGCCTGAAATGGGAAGGCAGATTAAAAATTTCTGTCATAGTTGTGGTGTTTGTCAAAGACAGGGTAACAGTAATGATAAAACCAAAGCAAAGCTATGCCCTTTACCAGTGATTTCTACTCCATTCCAGCGCATTGGCGTGGATATTATAGGACCATTGCCTAGAGTCACCCAAAGGGGGAACAGATTTATTCTGACCATTGTGGACCATGCCACACGATACCCAGAGGCCATTCCTCTGAGGAATATTGAGACTCATACTGTGGCTGATGCCTTGCTGAGTTATATGAGTCAAATGGGCTTCGTGTCAGAAATAGTAACTGACTTAGGAACATCTTTTACCTCAAAGCTCATGCAGAGACTGTGGCAAATATGTGGGATCAAACATCTAAATACTTCCCCATATCACCCACAAACTAACGGCCATACAGAGAAATTTAATGGTACCCTGATGAGCATGATTAGGGCCTATTCTGCTGAGAATCCTTACAATTGGGATCAGAGAATACAACTTCTGTTATATGCATATAGGTCTATACCCCAAGACAGTACAGGATTTAGTCCTTTTGAATTGCTGTTTGGGAGAAAAGTGAGAGGACTTCTTGACTTACTTAGACAAAGTTGGGAGAAAATACAAGGGTCTGATCCTGAGAACGTAATAGCATATTTAGACAACCTGATGAACACTCTAAAAAGAAATTTAGAGCTGGCTGCTGAGAATTTACAAGGACAGAAAAATAAGCAAAAAGCCTGGTATGACAGGAAAGCCAGAGAAAGAAGTTTTAATCCTGGAGATGAGGTGCTTGTGCTAAGACCTCTCAAAGGGAACAAATTACAACTAAATTGGGCAGGACCATTTAGAATTATTGCCA